TGGGCTGTACCGCCGTGAGCCTTAGATGGAGCAGAAGAGACTTGCATAATATTTCTCCTCCATTTAAACAAAACAAAACATGTAGAAAGCCACATAGGGAGAAAGATTCTAATTTACTTACTTCACTAATAGATACATTTTCTAAATGGAAGGAATTTCATTGTATGGCCAAGCATTCCGTTTCACGAGCCCCACTTGAATATAGAAGTGGTACAGTCCAGACCCCCAGTTCATCACCTCAGCCATTCAGTATTAAAACCATAGGTCATTTCCTGTCTGCAAATGTTCATCTGTGGTGTTTGTGTCTTCAAATACCTATTTTTACCATTCCCATTTGAGGATTATTATTATTTAGCTAAAAAGTAAGGAGACAGACTTGGTCAGCTAAATAGCACTCTAGGACTTATGGAAGCACCTGATAATATTACTCATAATTGGCTTTTCCTACACTTTCAGTCAACTAATTTGGATAGTATCAAATCCACCTTACTACTTTGTGAGTGATATGTGGAATATGTGTGTGTGTGTGTGTGTGTGTGTGTGTGTGTGTGTGTGTGTGTGAGAGAGAGAGAGAGAGAGAGAGAGAGAGAAACTTAGCTGAGTGTTAACTGTTGGCAGTTTATGTTTACAACTGTTGTTGATAATGGATAGTTCTTCTTCGTGGTCTCTGTGAATGCACACAATTTGGTTAACAGCGCCTGTGCTGGCCTTCCCGGAATCTTCTAGAGCTTTTCTTAAAAAGTAACAAAGTTTAGCATTGCCCCATTGCGCATGCTCCGCGCACCTCAGCCTCAGTTCTTGGAACTTCGAAGCCATCGTGCTTGGAACTTCTCAGAGTTCTCTTCACAACTCTTTGATTGAAAAATTCGATTTTGACTCGGACAGTTCTTCGATTCGGGAACTCCTCTGTTGCCCCTTGACCGCGGACTGACTCTGATTACTCTTTGGATTGTGGACTGGCTTAATTTACCTCGCTTTGAACCGCCGCGTTTTGTGGATTGACACCACCACTCTTGTTGATTACCGCTGCGGTCTCCTAATTCCCTTCTTCCAGATCCTATTTTCTTCAGAAATCACCACTTCTTCAACTAACCACGCTGTGAGTCTTCTTTTCTCTATTCCTTCCCTGCTTTATGTCCCCCTCAGCACCATTTAGCAGGTGCAAGTCGTGCTCCCCGCAGGTCTGTTTTGGGTTGCAGGGGAGTTTGTGAAAAGCTAAGGAAGAGTCCTGCAAAAATGGGAAAGAGCCAGTTTCTGCCTTGTTAGGTGGAGCCAATTACTATTGATTGGCCAAAATCCTGTTCCTTTCTACGGAAGGAAAACGGGTTAACTCGCAGTGGCTTCTCACTGGCAGTTAATGAGTCCCTGCTTGGTTTTTTGACCATTCAGCACCCTCAGTGGATTAGCGTACGCTACAAAGTCCAAGTAGGGACTCATTAGGTGGCAGTGAAAAGTCTGTCAAGTTATGCTGTTTACTTTCCACAGGTGTTATGGCACAATAGGATTTTGGTCATAATGTATATATTACTTCCTTTGTGAAGAGTGTTTTCCAAATGGACTTGTAGTTTTTGCTAGTAAATATGTCTTCAGTGTTTAAAAAAGACTCGATAGGTGGCTGGAGGCTTTAAAAGGTTGTGTTTAACAAAATAAAAAATATTACCCATTTTCTTAAGCACATAGAACTGAGCCCTGCCCTCTTTTTTCAGTTCCGGTAACACTGGGTAGGGCATCTCAGTGTTTTTTTTTACTGTTATACTGAAACATTGGACTAAATACAGCTGTTAGTCTCAGCTAGAGTAGACCTGCTGAATCAATGGGACTTGATAGTCAACACTTAAATATGTCCCATTCATTCATCCTTTCTACTACAGTCGGACAAATCTAAATTTAGCCTACTTGGGCTACTTTCCTCAAAGTGACATTGAATCTCTGGTGTTTTCGCTTTGGAGCTTTTCAGTAATCCGTAGAATTGGAATATGCCTATTTTGTCATTGATGAGAATCGCTGAGGAGACTTTGGAGAACATTTTTGCTTGTGTGGTGCTTGGCCCCCCACCCTCTTGTGTCTGCCCCTCACAGATGATTGAAAGAGTGAGAATACCTCTCAGGTTTCATAAATACAGATTTTTCCAAAGCGAAGCATAGTTTGTGATGGATTCGCAGTAAATGCCCTTCCTCTGAAATTTGCAGAATTCCTTTGTCACAACCTAGGGCCGCTGATGTTAACCAGCTCTGCAGAGACTAGGTAGTGTTCCTGGAAGTCACGAACATCTAAGATTATTACTGCATAATTATTCTCTCTTTATGAAACACATTCTTCTGTTCTCTTACCACTTGCCTTATAGTTTTGTATTTGAGGGGTTTTGCATCAAACCTGTGGCTTTTCTCCATCTGTGGAAACTTTTAATCAGGTACTTCAACTGTGAGGGAAGGTCATTCATGGTTATGTCACATTGTTAGTCATAATAATCTTGAGTTCTTCATTATGAGAATTAGAACTATCTCTCTCACACATAAGAAGCAAAATGCTTTTCCTCCCACTCCTATATGGACTTTACCTAGTATGCTCAGGGGATCATCTCAGGATCTGTTCTCTCTGCTCCTACCACTAGGAGTTAGGGTTGGTGGCTACACAATGCAATACTGTCTCACTGGATAAAAATTCAGAAGACTTTTCCAAGGGAATTTTATCTGTCTTCTTTTTTTATTTTTAATTTATATATATAGGCAGAGCTTTGATTGATGCTGTGCAGCAGGATAATTTGGTTTGTTCCCTTATTGTTTTGTTAGTGTTTTTTTTTTTAAACAAATGGATAGTATTACTTTTATAAATTTCTAAATAGAATTAAAAGTATGTTGCAGAAATATTGGTGATTAAACTTAAAGGGGAAAGTATATGCTAACTCGGGTGCTTTGTTGCACAGATATCTAGAAATCTGATTTGGGGGTTAAACAATTTGGGATTTTTTTTTTCATCTTCCTCACATTTACCGTGTTCTGGTTATTTTTATTTGGTTGCCGTTCACCTAACACATGAAATATCTACACTTTTTTATTTCTGTTAATTATGCTCTAAAACACAAATTGAAAGAGGAACAGAATCTAGCCCCTCTGATCAGGCTGTTTGAGAGCTGGTGGAAGGAACAAAAATTGTTTAGGAAGAGCTTCTGCCCATCTTTCCATTGGGCTTTTCTGAACTCTCTGGATATTTGGCATTTCAGCAGTTATTTGTGTCTCTTTCTTAATGCGCTGTTCCTTGAGTCTTCGGACTGCTTCTTTTCACATGACTGAACATGTGAATGACAAATATCAGGACTCACAAAGATACCTCCTAGGAGGAGCCGAGAAGGTCTTCTAGACCAGGGGTCCCCAACCTTTTCTGAATCACGGACTGGTTGGGGTGGAGGGTGGGGTCTGTGTGTGTGTGGGCACTCACGGATGGGTGGGGCGCACTCATGAGCATGCACAGATGGATGGGGCGCACTCACAGAGGGTGCGCTTGCACACATGGGGATGGGGCACCCATGTGTGCAGGTGGGCAGGCCATGTGTGCAGGAGGGAGTGGGGTGGGTGGGAAATCTATCTCCGCAGCCCGGTCCTGCCATGACCACAGACTGGCACTGGACCACAGACCAGAGGTTGGGGACCCCTGTTCTAGACAACTGCACTTGTGGACAGTTGTGGTGTGAGAGAAGCTTTCTACTTCTTCAGTTCAGACATCTTAGCGTGGAGTGTAGTTTTACTTTGTGCTGCGCAGGAGTTTGGACTGTGGCTTTCTTTACGTGTACCCTGGTTCTTACCACTCCTGAAGCCCTATTGGAAATAAAAGAATAACCTCCCTCATCTCCGAAGGCTTTTGAACTTGAAAGTAGAAATGGGCATGACTCAAGATCATCAGATTGTGCTGGATCTTTGTACTGTCACAAAAGATGCTGTGCAGTCCCATTCCTAGTTGCAGCAGGAGCACGGACCTCCCTTCTGCATCTCCTCCAGCAGCTGTCCACTCAAAAGCAGCGCCTCCTTGTCTGAGTGGGCATCTGCTGGAGGAGGCGGAGAAGGGAAGTCCGTGCTCCTGCTGTGACTGGTGAAACGACCAAAGCAAAGGAGGAGTGGAGCATGCACTGGCTGGTAAGTGGGGGAATCTGGCCAGGACGGGATGGGACCATGTAGCCACCCCTGTTGAATGAGGGATTTTCTGTATGCACATTTATGGCTTCCCTGACCCCTCTCTCTAACCACCTATCTTCTTGGTCCAGAATGAGTACATTCAACAGGTATTCGCGAAGGCTTTCACGGCCAGGATCTAATGGCTGTTGTGGGTTTTTCGGGCTCTTTGGCCGTGTTCTGCCAGTCTCTGTGGCCAGCATCTTCAGAGGACAGCACTGGCGAAACGTTAGGAAGAACAACCTTCAGAACATGGCCAAAGAGCCCGAAAACCCAAAACAAACATTCAGCAGGCCTTAGACACAGTCTGTATCATATTTATCATGCTGCTCTTTCATCCATCCCCCAAAAGATTAGTATCATACACACCAGAAAGACCACTGTTAACAACTGTTAGCAGGCCTTGACAGTGGGTGAAGGACTGCAGAGGTGGGATTTTCACTCACCCTGTCCTTTGTCCATCTAACGAGCCTCTTCAGATCATGGGGAGGTGAAACCAGTGTGGAGGAGAGATACATCACGGGTCTCCTACCAACTCTCCTGAGACTGAAGAAGCTACTTGGATGAGTAGGTAAATGTTTCAACCTAATAAGAAAGAAGTCCAGTTGCCATGACTCAACTTCCAGATCTCTAGTTAGATGCTATTTTCCAAAGTACTAAGAAACCAGAAAGTCCATGAAGGTTTTACCCACTGTTGTTTTTCTATTCTGTGCAAGGAGCCACATAGCTTTTTGGGTTTGTATGTGTGTGCTCACATCTTGAATTGTATGTTTTGGCAACTGCATGTGTGTATGTTGCTGTGAAGTCTAATACTTGTCTCTGCTTCCTACCTTACAGGACTAGAGTAAAATTGGAGAGCCTTGAAGATGCTTACATTTTGCGAGGAAATGATGACTCCCTTTCCGATAAGCATGGGTGCCCCGCCTACGTGAGTCCAGAGATCTTGAACACAAATGGCAGCTACTCTGGAAAGGCAGCCGACGTGTGGAGCCTGGGGGTCATGCTTTACACGATGCTGGTTGGACGCTACCCTTTTCATGACATTGAGCCTAGTTCTCTCTTCAGCAAGATCCGTCGCGGGCAGTTCAGCATTCCAGAGACTTTATCCCCTAAGGCAAAATGCCTTATTCGTAGCATCCTGCGCCGGGAGCCCTCGGAAAGGCTGACCTCGCACGAAATTCTGGACCACCCTTGGTTTTCCACAGATTTTAATGTGTCTAATTCAGGATATGGTGCTAAGGAAGTAACAGATCAGCTGGTGCCTGATGTCAATATGGAGGAGGACTCGGACCCATTCTTCAACTGAACATGACATGTTATGTTTGGGCAGTTGCATGGTGCAGAAAAAAGATAACGTGAAGGGAGTCTTTTCTGATCATGCAGAAATGACATTTGTGTGTCAGCCTGGCTTGATAGCAAAAAGAAGAAAAGAAAAATGACTTGGGAGGAGATACCGTTTTTTTATTTTTTGCTTTCTTCGGTCGGAAAAAGAGTGCCCAAGAAAAGAGCTAAGACAACTCTCTCATGAAGATGCCTGGATGGGAGGAATAATTGCTATCAAGTTAGATTGACAAGGAACAAGAAGGAGGCGGCAGCAGCATGGAGCAACTGTAGCTTCTCATCTTTATGGAGCCAAGGACACTGCACATTCATTCGGGTTCCTGGGCAGCCACTGATCCACTCCTGATTCCGTTTCATTCAGATACTTAAAGGGTTCCCAGTTGAATAAAAACTTTTGCCTCAACTTGCATCTTGGCATCGCACTGTTAGATATTTAACTTCAGCCATTATTCAGGGAAGGTACAATTAGCTATTACGTTATTCCATTTTGTTTCCTGTTTCTAAAAAAGAAAACCCTGATGTTTAATTGTTACAGTGGGGTTAATCTTCGGGAGGGAGGTTGGGAAGAGCACAAATGAAGACGTGGGAAGTTGGGGGGCTTAAAGGAAGCTTTTTAGTTCATGTTCTGTGAATGGCTAATTCTGAATTCACAGTTTTTCTAAATCAACAACTTCTTGTCTGGAGAAATGATATTTGAAATGTTCTGTTCTTTTCATGAGAGAAGGGACTATTACTTGGGTAATATCCTGTTGTATTGTCCCTACCAATGGAAGGCTCTTTTGGCCGCCAAAGGCTTCGGTGAGCAGCCCTTAAGGACTGGGGATGGCTTTTTTCCTTGGGAAAAATATTGGAAAGTGTGGGATATGCCATGAGGAACATTCACACACAAGTAGGGATTTTTGAAAAAAAAAATCTCCTCCCCATGACCACCATTCTGCTTCATTCTTCTACTGGGTCACAGAATATTCTGTCAGTGGAGGCACTACAGCTGGATATAACTCATGTTGAGTGGGGCTTTTTTTTACAGTTTTGGTTTTATTGGAGGAAGCATTTATAGGCCAGACATCCAGATGCATCTGCCTGCTTTATTAGCAAAAGAAAATCATAATCCTCTATTTTTTTAAGAAAATAAAATAAAAGGGAATTTCCAATAGTAGCTTCCACTTTACTACATGGCACATAAATTTGACCATATTTGAGGGTGGGAAGCAAATATATTAAATCTATTAGACAAAAAATAAAAATAAAACTGGATCCTGGAACCAATTCTTCGTCAAAGTGCCCTGAATATGAACAGAGTAGCTCTTTACTATTGAAGAAAAAAGTGTATGTAATTTCCTCTTTCCCCCTCTAATTTTGCAGAAAGGCGGTGACTTAGGTTTTCTTGCTTTTGGTTTTGTTTTCTGAAAAGGATGCTGTTCGTTTTCTTCTCGTTGACATCTTAATAAGCTGAACGTCACTAGGACACAGATCTGTCTCCTAAAAAGTACACAGTAATATGCACCTTTTGTATAGTCAAGACTTTTTATTTATTGATGAAACTGTCACAGTTGTGATGAATTAAGCCAGTACTTCAATTACGGGTTGACTTGAGGTGACATGTTACATGCTGTAGTTAACACGTCTTCTTCTTTTTTATATATATTTCATCTTCAGGTGTTCCTATCCCTGAATGACATATGTTTTTGATTCTTATTTTTAATCTTCTCCTACCAACCCCACCTTCCTTTGAGCTTTCATTTTGATTTAGGATTGGCAGATGATTTTATTACTGCTTTTATATTGCTGTCTTGATATGGGGGAAACAAAACAAAGCAAGCAGATCTCCTGGCATAAATATTTGTGTTTCCAGTACCTCAGTTGTTCTGATGTTACGGCCTGTATGCGTTTTTGTGAAGTGGTCATGTTCTTTGGATAGGTACATGTGGACTCCGTAGTATGTAAATGTTACTTGAATTTTGTGCTTTATTGTAGTATGTGGCATGTGCGTACGGCTATTCGGCATTTGACGTATGGATGCTATTTGCCTGCCCTGCAGGAAGGTTTCAATCCCACTCTCAAGCTGATGGTTCACAGTTCCTTATCAAGAGATAAAGCTGCAGCTGACCTGCCTTGGTTCTATTTTGGTATCTAAGAAAATATAGAGGAGTAATGTTTTTACACTCTGAAGATGGTGCTGTGTTGAGGGACTTCTCTTTTTTTGTTTTTGTTTTTTGAACGTTTATTTTATAAACTTGTAGGAAGAAAGATTGGTGATGTGCATGGTGGGATTTTACTGCCTCTGGTGCTTTGTCTTGTATTTGGTTTAATGTTTTTTGTCCTAATCTCTTCAATAAACAAAATTGTGCATATTTAACTAAATTCAGCTTGTGATGGCTCCTTTTTCCCACCCCCTTTGTTGCTTCCAAATGCTGTAGTAACATTGACATTACTCGTCACAGTCACCCCTGTTCAGGCATTACTCAGTCTGTTGTTATCCATCACGGAAGCAGGGGAACCCCTAGACCTTCCACTTACCATTATCATTTTCTCTACAAGAGAAACAACAGGGTCTGCAGGGGGCAGCTTCCTGTCCTTAGGTAGGTTCTTTACACAAGCAAGAACTCACCTGCTGGTGTGATGGATAAAAGGAGGGAAGGTAATTCCTGAATTAGGGCTATTGACATTGCTGGTTGTTTCTTTGCAACATAAATGCGTTTTCATGGAAATCACATTGGAAGAGCAGCTTCTTCTACGGTGCGCTCAGATCTGCAGTTTTCACTTGAGTTCAAGAGGGACCGTAGTCGTTTAGTGGCGCGCCAAGGCCCTAGATCCCAACATCTCAAGATAGGGCTGAAATACTCCGCACCTGAAATCCTAGAAATTTGCTTCCGCCTGGTGTGGATGAAACAGTACTGACCTAGATGAACTAATGGTCTGACTCAGCATAAGGCAGCTTCCTGTGATACCTTCTTCCATGGAAATGTAAACAAGCACTACAGCCTTGTATGTGTACTTAAGCCTCCAGCCGGAATCAATGGGTTTTAAAAGCTTAACTGGCTTGATAGTGCACTTTTAGACTTGCAGAAATTTTTGCTTTTATTTTTTGTGTTTTTTTTCCCCTTGTAGCTCCTACTCCCAGAGTCTCACAGAAATGCTGCCTGGGGCACTCTGGAGATTGTAGCTAAAAATTCCAAACTCTTAATAACAGATCTTTGTCTTCTTACCGTAGTATTTATTAGGCAAAAGTCTACCTTCTTTCTCAGTTGTGGAGAACTGCAGGTGCCTTGCAGGGAGTAAGCCAAACGGAATATTTGCAAGATCTGAAAAATAAAAGGATGAGGGATTTGTAGCTCAGCAACAGACCATTGGCATCTGTCTGCCAGAAGGTCTGAAGTTGAATCCCTTACTTCTAAACAAAGTCCTGCCCTGAAGTCTAAACTAGAACCACTCACTGGTCACTGTGGACAAGAAGACCAAGCTAGATTGACCAATAACATTTTCAAAAAGAGCGTCTTACAAGTTTCCATGAAGAACAAGAAATACCTCACAGCCTTGTTCTTCAGTCAGCGTCTGCTAGTAGTACAAACTGAATTGTATGCTCCCAAGTGAAAAAACAGGATTTTAAACTCTCTTCAGAATCCTTACCCTTGACACACTGAACGGCTGACTGAATAAAATAGTAATAGTAGTGGTTTAAAAAAAACCCAACCCTCATCATGACAAGAACAATGGCCGTTGTGGAGTCTCAGATGGGGATGTTTCTTTAAAAAATAGATATAGATTTTGGAAGAACATGCCACATTTCGGACAATTTGGAACCTGTTTTCTGCTCTCTTCCCTGGGGCCTTTTGGCCCAGCTGTGGTCTTCCAGTTTCATAGCCTTTCTCAGGAAGGCAAAACTGTTAAAATGTCATCAATATATAAACGTCGGGAGTAATTAGTTTTTTAATGCATCTAGTTTAAACGGGTTTAAACACTTTCCAATTATACTCCTACAGTAAATGTGCTTTGTTTTCACGAAGCAGAGTGGTTGTTTGCTTGCTTCATTCTTTCAAAAAGATTGAAACGTTTGGATGAAAGTAATTGTATCTACATACACACACACACACAAACACACACACACACACACAAACACACACACACACACGCACGAGCTCATGCTTACTTCAGCCCACCTCCTTTACAGCCTGTGTGAGCAGTTTCTGTTCTGTTTGGGTGGAAATAGAAGCATGCATGTTTCTTTTACACTGCCAATAATTATATTAAAAAATGTAGCTGACTAATGGCTGCTCATTTGCAGTGAATTATATTAAATACTGAGGTCTGCTTCATGCTGGTATGAAGAAAACCTTTTGGCTAAAGTTGCCAATTTCCTAACACGAGTCAGAGGCCAATAATAATTGCCTTGTGCTTACACAGGACTGAACTTTCCTACTTGACACACCTGGGTTCGCCATAGTTTTTTTTAAAAATTTTTTCCAGTTTTTTATTTTTGGCTTTAATATGTATCTCCAAAGGTCTTTTAAGGACTTTTTAAAAAGTGCATAACTCCAGTATGACAAGCGTGTTGAAAGGTTCTGATTTTCCTTCAGGATTCTGTCAGAAATGTGTTCGCGCATGATCTGATGCTAAATCATTAATCACTGCTGATGACCGTACAGTACAGGGATTAGAAACGAGTCCTGACAACTAGAGACAGCAGCAATGCTTCAGTCCCCAGGTCACCATAAATGTGGGGCAAGCAACAACTGTTACGGCACCGTAGTGCAGCCGTTATGATTTAGGACGAAATTCAGATTGTTCCACGCTAGCAACGCAATGAGAAGGATTTGTGCTGAAGAGGGTGTAAGCTTCTCATTACTGCAGCTGGCATAGTCCTCTCACCTACTTAGAAAGTTTTTCTCTATCCCGGGATTGTGTGGCGCAGTGGAGCACCTCAGGTGTAGATCTTTTCCTGTTTTGTTGCCCTTCCAGCCAGTAGACAACACGGGTGAGAAAGCACCACACAGCTGGTTCTGACCCTGTGTATTTTGAGCTCTGCTGTTCAGCCCAAAGGAGCACGGCACCTTGCCACAGAGCAGATGCCCTGTACTGTATCTCCTAAGATGTTGTGAGAAGTGGCCTCTAAGCCCATAAAGGGTATTTGTGTAAGATGAATTCCACAAGTGGGAGGCACAACCAGTAACACTTCCCATAAGCGGGGAAAAGTTCCTTTTTGAACTGTGCTTCCCAGAATCGTCCAGCCAGTTGATTAAGAGATTCTGGGGTGTTGTCTGAAAAAGTAATTTCCCTTGTCTTCACTCCTTTTTGCTATTGGGATGTGGCAAACAGATGGACAGATCCCACAAGGTAGCCCTTTGGGTGGTATACTTGACAGCGTACCCCATGGGTTGCAAATTGTGGCCCTCTGCATATTGTTCGACTCAACTCCTGTTGTCACCCCTCACAACTGGCTATACTAGCTAAACCTAATGGGATTTGCAGCCTCTAAACTTTTAAGGGTCGCAAGTTTTCCACCCTGTGGCCTTGCTCCAAACATAACGGAACACAGGCGGTTTCCTTCGCCTATTCCATTAATTTAAAACTTGTTTTCGTACAACATTCCTGCAGCTACACTTGTGCTCCTTTTTTGTGTGTGTGTGTTTCCTGGCACACTGCCTAGTGCTGTATAGCAGCCCCACTGCTCATACTCTTGAGCTCCAGAACTCCACTTTGTATTCTACCGGCCATCTGTGAAGCTGACA